ACAATTAGCAAGGAAACTAGGAAACAACATTTAGTACCACAGCATTTTGCACCTTGGGATGATTCTCACGCCTGCAGGTTAAACAATTTGATCACCTGCCAGCTCACAGCTTATATTCGCCAGCTCTTGTTTGTTACTTAACTTGTCACTATTACAGTCTGGTTAGCTCAATTGGGAGAGCGCCGGACTGCTGTGCGGGAGGTCGAGAGTTCAATACCGGCCGGACCAACACTCAGGGTCTTAAAATTAATTGAGAAGAATATGCTTCCTTTCTTTAACATCAAGAAATGGTTAGATATTCTAGTCTTCTCGGATAGGGACGAATAAATGGAGGTCCCGTCTCCTGCAGGGTTGGGGTAGGAGACGTTAATTTCCCACGCACGAGATTACTGTGTGATGGATGTCCTCCCTGGGGTGGGTTGGGTGGGTAGGTGAAATCGTTACGGACTAAACACGGCTGCCAGAGGCGCCTGTCTGATTTCAACCTCAAAAATTGTAACTAAACACGTAAGTTGTTTAGAGAAATAGAGACCTTTACCTTTACCTTTACAACGTAATTATTGTTATTATTAAATTGTAGTTTGAAGAAAACAGAGATAATTTCATAACCACAACTCACCTGTAAAAACACCCTGTTTCCTTCTGCACACAGGTAGTAATGGCTTCCATCCAAGTCATACCTAATGGTATTTGCTCCATAATCATATCCTTTTTCTATGTAAAATTCTAGAGACATGAATACAAAAAGAAAACAATCAAGTTTATTATCTGAGGGTCCGGAAAGTCAAATATGAGATGTAAATATAGCTTTATGCAGTGCGATAAAGTAAACTTTCCTCATTCAATTTACTTTTAATGAAAATTAGATATTGATGTGATCAATCCAGTTGCATGCTGAATAATGTTCTGAAGCTGGGTTTAAAACAACGGAAAACTATAAGCTCAAAGCTAACGAAAAACTATTCCTCGAATTATTACGTAATCAATAATTGTTTAGGTGAAAAAGTTTTCCATTACTGTATAAGATAATTTTACCACAAAAACTGGCAATGTGGTTAATCATTAATGATTAATGAGGCCTCGTGAATGCTCATGGATACTTGAGTGTCATCTATAGAAGATTTGCAATTAAACTCGCCGTCAGAATTGAAAATGAATAAAAAAATCCGCAAGTGTACTTCCGTGTAGATTACATTCACAATAGAGCCAATCTGGAAACTCGTTTAAATCTACTTGCATTCAAACGGGGCGCTGAGTCCGTTACATTTCTGCAGGAATCTCTCCTCTTTCTTATTAATTATCCTCGATTATTTTAGACCATTCCATCATTTTACATGCACAAAATCTTCATAATAGCGGGGCTCCCACGCGCGTGGGGTAGAGCCTATACCCCATGCAATATGGTCAACCTCTTTTCGTTTGGTTGTCACGTGACTGACCGAGCGTGCGTACGTGCCTTTAGATTGCACAGGTAGGGTAGAGGAGACTATCAAAACGAAGGGGGGGACTCAGGCGAGTCTTGGCAAATGCACATCTTTTATGTTATCATTAATATTACGAACTTGGGAGCTCCGCTTTTAGGCTTGGCTAATCTATATACAGTATTAGCTTTTTGTGAGGGTCACGCCCTACCACACGCTTATATTTACCTGTTGTATTGCCCCGATGGCTCCCGGTAAACTTAACGGGGATTTGAGGACCAGGTTCGCTTTCCGGCAAATCTGTTATGAGTAGGTTTCCACTTTTGTCAAGTCTGCGCTCGGGGATGTCCATACGATAGCACGCGCTAATTTTAATTAACTGTCAGATAAAATTGGAAAAAAAACATTTTTTAGGATTTAACTCCAACTAAACACCACGCGACTGGAAATGAACTTCGGGGACTTAATTCTCTAATTTAAAAAATATATATTTATATATTTACATATATATATATATGTAAACGTCTTATTTATCTCAGCCTGAGCGCTCTTATAACAAAGGGTCTTATATATAAAAGAAAAGAGTGGACATAAAGTCCACGATCGGATGATTGGAATGTTAAATTTATAGCAAGTTTACCGTACCTTCTCCATATTTTCTTTATTGCGGGTTTTTCTCCAAGCTTGATCTGTAGTCTCTAGTTTCTCCTGATCTTGATCGTTGCGAGTTGCAAATGGTTTGGAAACCTTTGGATTCGACGATCTATTTATACGGAAAGTTGAGGAAGACTGATATGCTAATTGACACCAGTGAGATCCCCAAAGTCACGCGGTCTTGTCAGAAATTGAAAGCATCGGATATCTCAGTCATTCGTACGCAGGATTTCGAAATAGCTGAGTAACACTAGTTTCTATGGGTGCCGATGGAGCATGCAGTTGGAAATGCTCGCGATTCTGTTCAAAGGAGAAGTGTATTTTTCAAATAATTAGAAAGAACAAGTCACGCAAATCAGGAATCCAAAAGGTTTCCAAAATAGACTCTTAAAAGATATTCTAAATTGGTTAAGAGCTTTATCTTTAAGAAAGTGAAAAACTAAAATTTCCTTTTTGTCAGAGATGTTAGAAATTAGCTGAAATAATTTATTCTTGTTTAATAGATAATGTGTTTTGGGATCGTCATTGTTGCACAGATCAAAAACGGAAACATATATTCAATTTTATTTGCTCTCAATAAAAAAATGGACATGAATGTTATAATTTGGCTGTAACTCCAGCCACAGAAGATGTGAAATATTGGAATCTATCTATAGGATATTTCAAACACCTGAAAGATGCAAGTGTGAATTCTGTTTGAAAATGAAAATATTTCATTAATCTTTTTTATTTGCAGAAACAAGTTACATGGTATGCGCCATATTACGATTAAGACTCTGTGATGCAAAACGTTATGTGAGCGAAAAGAATTCTCGAATGATGATGGTATTAAAAAAAAAGTTTGTCTAAAAAAATAAAATAGACAAGCCATTAACTTGACAAACTTGTCAATCAGGAGTCTGTCGCCGCAAACTCGATATTGATTATTTTCCATCCCCTTTTTTTTCTTATATGATCGCAAAAGTTTAATGTGTCATTTATTGTTTGCCCATTTTCACATTGAGAACCGTAACGCAAAACCCAAAGAAATAGCAACAACTAACTGAATCAGAACAAAGGGGAAAACAGAAGAACACAAACCTCCATACGAATAGCTAACAAAGCTAACCTACAAAAACAACCTGCGTCAAGTTTTAAATGGTTTTGGTATTGCATTTGATTGGATAACAACATAGCAGAAGATTTCTAGACCTATTTCAGAGAGTTATTGAGCAAAACCGGTGAGAGTAATCTAATGTAATTTTCAACATTCAAAGAGATGTTGCCCTGATTTATAAGGAGTATAGTCCTGGAGAGATCAAAATCTTATGAAAATGATGATTTGTTTTTGGCTGGGTGGTTTTGCAGCAGTGTTTATTTGTTTGCTGCCGAAGGAAAAAAAAACAATGACAAATATGTACAGCGCATTGAAAGGTTTACTGATGTAAAAACTGTCAGACTACAGCGTGTGTAGCAAAGGAATTATCAATGATGTCTTCATTTCCCGCCAGATTCTCATAACTGAGATCTCCAAGATCTGATGCATGATGGCGTGCGGACGTGTATCTGAAGGCTCCACGAATTCCACTGAATTTGTTGCCACTGAACCTTCTTCATCTCCCTTAAAG